GTGTATTCATAAACAATGGCAGAATTTAAACAGAGAGAGTGTTTTATATATAGAAAAACCCAAGGAGTACCATGGAAGGTTCTTACCGGGGTAGCTGTCGAATGTCTCCAGAATATTGTTCATAATTATAATTTACCACGTACCACTGGGAGCTATAAAATTTACAAGCCTGAAAAGAAAAAAAAATGACAATTAAAAATTATCATGAGAAAAATCAGCTGTCCTGTCAAAAACCACGGTGAATTCAGTTCTCATGACCTCCGGGATAATGTTAAGGTAGCTGTGTTAGCAACTTTCAGGCAGGTAAAGGGCTTGCTTATCTAATAATCATTTCATTTCCCAGTGAAATGGAAATATAACCTTTCCCAGACTCTAAGAGGAGGAACCATTTGACATATTTATTCTATTTTTCTCCATCAAGGAAAGTCTAATTTAATCACCCGCTGAATCATACCGGATACGCTGCTAACCTCAAGTCCTGACATTTTTTCAGCTTGCCTTGGCAACCCTTCCGTCATTCAACAGTTGTCAGTAGCAAAAGATGTTATTATTTATTTTTACATGTAATTCTTTCATCATAATTTTAGCCTCTTTCTTCCTGTTCTTGCGTCAGTAACGAAGACTTTTTCACTTTAGGTCAACCCTGTGGTCAACTTGGAATCCGTTTTACCTCATTGCCTTCTGAACCCAGGCTTCTCCGTGATTCTTCACCAATTTTATAAATATATGTGAATAAATATATGTGAATAAATATATGTGAATTTTATAAATATATGTGAATAACTTTGTTTTTTTAAAACAAAGTTAATAGCACAAAATAATTATCTTGGAGTGGTACACGATGGCTGACCTGAGGGTGTTTACTGATGATAAAGATTCTCCAAACCCTACCGTGCACCTCACACTATGCTGACCATGGAGTGGTAACGGGGGTTTCACTAGTTGGCTTTTAAGATTCCTTTTGATTCTAAAATTGCATAAATCAAGGGATTAAACAGCAACATCAGGATTATAAGGAGACCTTGTGCTCTAGCATGAGTGGGGAAAATGCGGAGCCATGGACTTCCTGCAATATGAGAGGTAAGACCCATGAATGTCTTAGTAACCAAGAAGGGGACAGGCAAAGAAC